AGATAGCCCTCGTGTAGCTTTGCGCGAAATTCATAACAAACAAACATAAGCATGTTAATATCTAGTTGCATCATCTCATCATATATTACATTTGTCTGGTTAATTTGGGTTCATACTTTAAAATCATGACGATTTTAAGAAATCTATCGTAAACGTATATACAATTTGAAACGACGCTATTTAACGATAAAAAACAATTTATTAAAAAAACAAGGATATAATATAATGTACCCTGGCGTTGGTAGTTTCAGCCTTACATATGCTGAATGTTAGAAATATTTTTTTTTTTACGGATTACTTTGAACTTTTTTATTTCACAAACACTACATTAGACAGTACTTTTCTAGGAGGTTACGTTTGTCTTTTCAGTTTCACAAACACTACGCTAGACATTACTTTTCCAGGAGTTATATATAAATTACTTCTCCATCTTGAAACTAAACTGAAGTAATCTACGGAAAGAGTGTTTAAAAATTACAAGTTTTAAATGAAAGTTTCTTGCAAAAAAAATGTTATCACGTTCAGTTATATAGCGAGAAGAAACGACGTTAAGTTAATAGCAATATCTAGCTCACAAATCTTACAAGTTGTTAAACTTTGAAGCATCTACACGAGAGCGATTCTTAGATTTTGTGATTATAGTCACGTACTCAAACATATGCATACTTTCTCTTTATCAAGGCCGATTTATAAGAATTGCATACCCTTTTATTAAGCTTTAATTAGGCCCATGCTATCTTGCATTGAGTGCAATCTCTACATGGTTTTACCACAAATCCAAAACAGATTTAATTTTCTCAGAACGCTATGCGAAAATCACTAATCAAGCAGATTTATGAGGGAAAGTTTTCCTAGACTGATTATGTAGTTTGAGTAGTTTCTCACTTATCACACGTAAGATATGTTATTTACGAAATGAAACAAAATGCAACGTTATTTAATATTATGCTTCTTCTTGTACAGAACTTACACGCAGCGTTTGTTGTCTTAACGTGATTCAATGCAGACCTTTCACCAATATACTTTCATTAAACACTGAATCAAGATTTAAATCGACAAGTTCCGCAACACTGTTGTTGCTTCTTAAACTGTCTTTTTTTTGCATATATTTGTGACTTACCTTCGGTTTCGAAAACTTAACGTACGTTTAAGTTTAATTAAAACAGACTTTTCAACTGTACAAACGAAAAAACAAATCTACCCAACTGTCGCTTAAAATGATGTTCTTACTCATCTGTATAAGCCGTTTATAAGACTCACAAATTGATTCTCTTTACTAGAGAACTATAAAAATCTTTGTAGCACTTTCACAAAATTTGACGAATTGCGGTGATACTGAGCAAAGTAATCTCTAAAATTTCGATTATAATAAAATTGGTTTTACTTATCTATAAACGTATTCAATAATATTTGTTTATTTTCAGAAGAAACAAACATCGGTCGTAATATCTATAAATTTAACGAAGACATCATGGTATATCAAAGGCTAAACAAGAGAGAAAAACATGCATGTGCCTGTAAATAAACGAAGTTAGACAAGAGGATTTAATAATATTTTGTTAAACAATACTTTTGAAGGTTTCAGTCAGGAAATAATATTTTTCTGCCGTGTAATCTGGTCAACCCATATCAACAAAAAATTTCAATAACATTAACAATTTCTATTGAAAAGAGTGTTACAAGTAGAACATTTGAAACATTAATTTCTAGTACTATTATGGAACAACACTTCGAAACCGATATATATAATTCAGTATCAACGCTATTGTGCAAATATGTACTACTTTCGGTATCAACTTTATCCTAAATATGAGGGCCTAGCATAGCCTGGTAGTTAGGGCGTTCGATTCGCAATCTGAGGGTCGCGGGTTCGTGGGGGCGTTATATGAGACAGCCAATCCCACTATTCGTTGGTAAAAGAATAGCTCAATGTGCAAGTACAAAAATATTGTTACATACACGCTGTCTTGTCTGTTACTTCAAAAACTAGAATTATTGATCATCCGAGCAGTGCGTACACCAATGAATATGTTATCACCACATAATTTTATTTTAAACATCCATATATTGAGTAGTTTTTAAGTAGGAGAACAAACAAATGATAACAATGGATGTTGCTCACACTATGAAACCATCCGCCTCTTGAGGCTCAAGTGATTGCAGTGACGAGCTTTGATTTTCTCTTAACCTCCTTTTCCATATTGCTATAAAAGATACTGTTGTAACATACATGAATGAGAATAATCCCTGTCAGAAGAAATTCAGTATTCTTCCAGTTTCCTTTGCCCCAGTTTTGGATTAATTCCATATTTTCATATTATGTATATTACTATTATGCATATCAAGTACATTAAGAACATCCATCGTATTTTGTATGATCCTCTGTGTAACCTTTAAGAGAATATTTGATCAAATGAAAATTAAATATCTGTTGAAATAAACGAAAACAAATTATTGAAGTGAAAACATAAAACATTACTGCCTGGATAGAAACCAACTACATATATCTCTGAACATTAATTCAGTATATTGTTATATTTTAAAACATTCTGTTGATATGAGGGGGAACTGTAACGTAATAAAACTACTCTCACATAAGACCAAAAACTGGCATATAACAACTTTATTAAAAGTCCAAAGACTGGTATATAGTGACTTTATATACTTCCAATATAATAAATATAACTTTCTAATAAGATGCCACACTCTTAAAACAAAACAAAGTGAATCAGGCTACCCCAGGCAAAACGTATGTAAAAAGAGGCCTAAAAGTAAAACTTCAAGCTCTTCTCCTTAAAGTCGATAAAACGAATTGATACTAGATGAAAAAATAGAATATCTATCAAGAAATACTCTTTGAATCGACCTTTCTAGTAGAAGATAAATAAAATAAGGAACAAGCAGAAACTCATCCGTTGAATATTTGACAAAATGTCTGGCAAAGCATGAATAAGATAACCGTTAAACTTAGTATAAATCAATATGAGCTTCACTAGAAGAACACATGTAGAATTATATAATTTAGGTGTTTGTTGAATAATAGAACTCTTCGGATTTTCTATCACGGAAGAAAGGTAACAGGCCTATCAATAAATTATTATAGTGATATAGATAATAAATAGTTTAATTATTAAATAGAAAGTATGATATCGTGATGATTATCTTATTTATTTATAATAATCGTGATAATTATCGTATTTATTCATATTATACATTACAGTTGAATGCAATTAATAAAGAAATACTCGCCCCCAGTGGCACAGCAATATGTGTGTGCGGACTTACAACGCTAGAATCCGGGTTTCGATACCCTTGGTGGGCAGAGCACAGATAGCCCATTGTGAAGCTTTGTGCTTAATTACAAACAATAAAGAAATACTCATATCAGTTTCTTATTACTTTTATATCATTACAGAAACTTTTTTTTAAATAAAATACAAAGCTATATTAATTTCTTTGTCTTTAGAGAGAATTGTTTTGTATATATATATATTTTCCAAATAATTTCTGATTAACTCAGAAATCCACAAAACTTTTTGGCCCCGAGAAGAAACCTACATACTATTGTCTGACAAAAATTTTTCGATAATCTTATAAAATATAAAATTTGTTTTATTACTTTGCTACTAAAGTTAGAACGTAGTTCTATTTTACGCACTCATTTTGTTCTTTACCTTTTCACTCGCATATAATTAAGACTGCGCGTCGTGGAGTCGAATGGAGTTATTTCGTAAGTTATCTACATGGTAAAAAGAAATTATATATGTATATATAATGTTGGTAAAGCTGGTGAATTTAGCATGTAGCGTAAAAACAAAAACACTCCTAAATATATAACAACAAAAATCTACATTGTAATTGTGTTCAAATATTCCCTTAAGATATGCACGTTTCAACTTTAATTTGTAGTACAACGAATAAATACAGATACCGCCAACTTTAGATCCCTTATCAACGAAAAGTTTCTTTCCGAAACAACGTCAAGTTTTGCTTTCTCATCTGGAACTTTTATTACTAAATCTTCTTTATTCATATTTTCGATTTTTGTTCCCAACAAAACTAGCTTATTTTTCAGGTTTTTTTGTTAACTCTGATCTCGAAACAGTTAGTTATTGATTTTGGGTAACATTTTTCACATAAAATAACTGAATAAGGTTTAGGAAAGTAATAATAAGAGAGCATTACTTAATTTGTTGTGGTTATTTTAAGACGACGTTTATGCAGATCTTAGCAGAGTTAAGTATTATGGATGGTTCATATCAAAAACAGAAATTTTAAAAAGGTAACTATATCAACAAAGATACTCATGTGAAAGAAAGCACATGCTTTACCTTACACGTGTTCGTCCAGCTGCTTTTGTGGCTTGTTCATTGCGCTGTTCCTATCGCTTGTGATATCTGGTGTTGAAGATTCTGTCCACTCCACGGTGTGTTATCTCACATTCCACTGCAGGAAATTCTCTCTCTTTAATCTTTTATAGTGGCTATAGAACGCCACCACATACGTGCGGCAGCTTCAGGAATTAGAACTACATTGGATCAACTATTGTTTATTATTAGAAATGTTGTAAAATCAAAAATGTATTGGCATCATTATTTACGGATGAACGACTAACTATAAGGATTTTTTGTCACTTCATAAAATATTTATCATTCTGATAATATTTCCAAATTAGTACTTTTTATATTTTTTAGCAGAAATTCACTAATATGAAGGTTTCGTGAGCACAAGGGAACGTGAAAATGAGTCTAAAATACTCGTGTAAATTTGTTTTAGAAAATAAAATGCACAACATGTAAAATGTGCTAGCATTTAGTACAAGTCAAAGAAATTTCATGTTAATATGGTGATAAAAAACAAAAGATTAAATAAACTTCGAACTTTATTAATGAAATAAAACTATACGAAGTACAAATCATCATGGTTTTTGCATACATTTAAAAAATAATACAAAATACGTTTAATGGACTAAACCAATCCCTGTGTCCAAGTACATATAACACGAATTAAACTGTAAGTTCAGTTTGTGGTGTTATGTATATTGGGCTTCCTCTGTGAACTTTGTAGAATGAAATGACGAATCACAAACTTGTTGTAATATAACACTTGATGACTATTACAGTCATAATCAGTTCAAATTGTGTACCCTCATGTACACAGTAGTAACATATCATACAAAATACTGGGCTATAATTTCACACCTTTAGGAGCATCCAAAACAATCACGTTAAGATAGGCCTATAGTATTACTAATAGTCGAAAGCAAACTCGGTAACTTAAACGTATTTCGCACAATTCGCTGAGACTTTATGAAACATTAAGCTCATTTACTCAGCTAATTACAAGCTGTCTCAAACTACATTTTTAACATTCGTTTTGTAAGCTTGTTTGTTTGCTTTTGAATTTCGCGCAAAGCTACACGAGGGATTATCTGCGCTAGCCGTCCCTAATTTAGCAGTGTAAGACTAGAAAGATCTGGCTGTTGTGTATTGTGTAACTAGCGTG